GCATGGGCCTGGGGCCCAGGTAAGCAATTTATATTAGATGTGTTTAAATTGTGTGACCCCATAACGACATTTCCCCAGATTTATACAAAATACAAAATCTGGCCTCAGTTTCCTCATTATGCACAAAATACTGAAGTAGCTTAAGGATTTAAACATGAATGTTAACCATGGCATTAGGAACCACGGTCTCCTACTAGATTTAATTCATTGGTGATTCATTCATTGCTGTCAAAAACAAGAATACACCAAAACGCTCTGAAATATTAATGGATCTATTGCTGCAGGAGGAACACTGCTCTGAGAGTTGCATTCTTGTGTGACAGTGGATACTAATGACCTCTATGCCCTTTGGTGGTCGGCTTCCCAATGCTGGCCTCACTTTCCTTATCTATAAAATGGGTTGGTTAAACAGGGTGGTCTAAGATTCTTTCTTGCTCTGAAACTATATGCTTCACATGCGATAGCTCATTCAACATATTTTAGGTGAAGGAATGATCCTGAAACTATTCGTGTGTATTAGCTCTGAAAAAAAGGCAAGTCTCTGGTTGAGGAAAAATTATTTCACCGAGAAAATCGTTCCACTAAAAATCAATCAAAATTTTATACAACTTATAACTTTGACTTGGGTATAATTAATGATTTTCTGGTTTTCAGGTTGGTTTTAGTGGATGTAGCTGAAAGCATCATGCACCTAGCTCATCTGTGTTAAATTGTGTTAATTTGGGGGGGAAAATCTCTGAGTGTCTGGGGGGGGGGGGGGGGGGCTGGTGTGAGCCATTTTAGCTTTGAGATGCCCTGAAGACCAAGAAATAGAAAGTAGGGGGTTAATATTTTGCATTTTATGTGGATTAGGTGCTTGGAAACAGAACTATCTCAGCAGCCACCACACTGTAATAGGGGAAAATAAAAAGCCATCACTAAGCCAACGTTCCTATGCATTCATGTTACTTATCTACAAGTGCACATTTTTAGGTTGGGCCTTAGTCAGTAAAACCATGTGAAGTTCCTCATTTGAGGTCCGTTCATCAGAGTGATGCCACATTTCTCTGACTGGGACCTATTGCTAGACGATGCTTTTTTGATTTAAGAATCATGGCGTGCATGGTATGTGCATGTGTGGGGGAAGAGAATCCAAATAAGTACGTTTTTTAATGTATTCTACATTTTAATATATTTTTAAAATGTTTTATTGATTTTTTTAAAGAGAGGAAGAGAGAGGGATAGAGAGTTAGAAACATCAATGAGAGAGAATCATCGCTCAGCTGCCTCTTGCACACCCCCTACTGGGGATGTGCCCGCAAGCAAGGTACATGTCCTTGACCGGAATCAAACCTGGGACCTTTCAGTCCACAGGCCAACACTTTATCCACTGAGCAAAACCGGTTTTGGCCATTTTAATATTAAATGGAAGGTATAAAGAAGGAAAAGGGGGAAAGAAAAAAAAATATCCTTATGAGACTTCTCTAAAGGCCACGCATAGACTCAGTATGTCAGAGTGTGACATATGGTTGCTCTTATGTTTTTGTCTCATTACCTAACAAGTACACTAAATGAATATTTGCATAGGAAATTGCACAAATCGTTTAACATCAGATGATAGCTACTGATGGATTTTATGTAAAAAGAAGTGGAGAGTAATATAAGCAGTATATGTGCTTGGGTGAAGTTTAAAAGAAGTGAATCCTATTTTATAATTTCAATCATTGCTTCAGGAAGATGAATATTTATTTAGGAAAATAAGATATAGGACAAGTGAACTAAAATAGGAATAAATAAATTCTTAACATCAGACTTCAGCAGATGTCAATTATCTCAGAATCGCACTGCATCTATTTCTCCTCTTACCAAACTTACACTCCAGCTTTTATTTTTTAATTTTTTGTGTGTGTGTGTGTGGTGATTTTCCTTCTTTGGATTTTACCTGAGTAGACAAGCATGAAATGAAGTTTTCACTGCATTTTACTAATGTCAGACATTCTTGCAGCTCAGTATCACTGATTAGTAACAGTCTCACTCTAAGGACTGGATGTGGTCTCTTTGTTAGATCTCCCAGGATGCCTTCCTCCCCCACTCCCCCCTCCCCAAGCCCTGCCCTGACAGCTGCAGGCTGCCTTCCCCAGGCTTAGCTCACAGCTGAATCCTTCCCCAGGCTTAGCTCCTGACCAAAGTGGGAGAGCCCTGGCCCCAGGCTCCATCTTCTCCCTATGGTGTCACATCCAAAGGCCAGTCAATGAGGATATACAAAGGCTGGGCCCCCCTGGCCTCAAGTCTGCAGAGTTCTGAAGGGTCACCCCAGCTCCTTGGCTTCCAATAGCACTCACTGATGCTGACTCAGACTTTGGTTGTATATAGAAGAATCACGTTCAGCTTTTCCCTGCACCAACCCTTTCTACCTCATGGTCCCTTTATTCCTCAGCCTTCCTGCCTCCCCAGATCCTGCCCCCTCCTCCCCCCCAGGAAACCTCCTGCATACTAATCTCAGCCTCAGAGTCTGTTTCCCTGGAACTGACCAAAGAAAGATAGGGAACTGTGGGAACATCACAGTGTCCACACTGAATCTCAGTAAGGTAAGCTCTTCTGGAAAAATTGGAACCCACTGTCTGGAATCTTAACACATTAAATTTGGTGTTTGTATTTTTTACTCTAGTGTCTAGTAGCATTTTTCAAAAACAGTAAGTGGATGTGATTGTGTTATTCTAGAGTGAAAATTATTCCTTTTACTTATTCAACTATCCTTAAAAACCTCATTCCCTCTTTTGTTATTTTGGGCAGTCTTTTAAAAATTGCAAAGTACCGCTCAGTATGACAATAACTGCCTCTTTTTTTTTTTAATAGTATCTTTACATGATTTATCTGCTAGACTTTTTAAAAACTGCATTAGAATGAAAAGTTAAAATGCTTGAAATGGTTTTATAAGCAATAATTAATGTACCTGAACACATATATAACTGCATTTCCCCTTATGACTGTTTTCTCATTGTTCTGACTCAAATCACAACCATAAAAACAATGAAAATTTCAAAAAGATAGCCCTAAACTGGTGCTAATTTGTACCAGTTCATTGGCTTAGGCCTTGTATTTTGTATGAAAAATCACTTTTTTCCCCTAAATATTTCAGGAATTTTTTTGGAGGAGTGATAAAAATTAGTAACTTCTGTCCTTCTTTTAACCAAGTTCAAAACATATTCAACTGAGATTGGGTTTTTAGTATTACAATCTTGAGAAAATTTGGGTTTTTAGTATTAGGATGTCTTGCTGGATTTAGAAATTAGCAAACAAAACAAAGTGCACTTTATATGAAAATATCTTGAAATTTTTATTATAATACATATCAAACACATATGACATATAGAGATTCTATTTCTCTATGAAAGAGAAATTTATCACTTTGTGATATCTTTTCTGAAGCAACACGATGACTCTTCAGTGATGAAATCAAGATGCATTTATAAATTTATTTGATGCTGAGGTTCCCCAAATTTTCATGCATAGAATGCAATCTTGTTCATGTGAAAATTAAGTTTATTCCAAGGCTGAGGTGTTCATAGCCCAATACAGCTTGCATAATGCTTTCCTTGATCAAACGCCAGCTCTCTGGGCTGACATGCCCAGAGCCAAGAAGTTCCAGCTGAGGCAAGGACACACTGCCTCACTGGCATCCATGTGAAGGCTGTATAAGAGCATCTTCAGTTAAAATGTGACCTGCCATAATAGAGCTCGCAGAGAGGTAGCATGGCCAGAGTCAGGGGTTCCAATAGCATGTGAAACACATGCTATTTATGGGTTGTATAGAGCAGTCCTTTTTTCCCCCAAGCCAAACTGCATCCAACTTTATTAAATACTAGAGGCCTGGTGCATGAAATTTGTGCACTGAGGGGGGAGTCCCTCAGCCCAGCCTGCACCCTCTCCAATTTGGGATCCCTCGGGGGATGTCCAACTGCCAGTTTAGGCCTGATCTCACAATCCAGGACTGCTGGCTCTCAACCCCTCCCCTGCCTGCCTGCCTTATTACCCCTAACTGCTTCTGCCTGCCAGCCTAATCACCCCCTAACCACTCCCCTGCCAGCCTGATCAATGCCTAACTGCTCCCCTGCTGGCCGATCTCCCTCAACTGCCCTCCCTTGCCAGCCTAGTTGCCCCTAGCTGCCCACCCCTGCCGGCCATCTTGTGGCAGCCATCTTGTGACCACATGGGATGGCTGTCTTGTGCGAGGGAGTGATGTTCAATTTGCATATTACCTCTTTATTATATAGATTCTTTTATAACCATCATGGTATTTCAGGTAGGACATGGACAGATAATCGTTAACAGCCGAAACCGGTTTGGCTCAGTGGATAGAACGTTGGCCTGCAGACTGAAAGGTCCCGGGTTCGATTCTGGTCAAGGGCATGTACCTTGGTTGTGGGCATATCCCCAGTAGGGGGTGTGCAAGAGGCAGCTGAATCGATGTTTCTCTCTCATCGATGTTTCTAACTCTCTATCCCTCTCTCTTCCTCTCTGTAAAAAAATCAATAAAATATATTAAAAAAACAGACAGATAATCATTAACAGTACACAACTTTCAAACTCCCTTCTTCAATGAACTACCAAAATCAGAAAGCCACTATAAAACCCAATCAGGTCTTCATCTGATGCTCTGAACAGGAAAAGTTTAGTGAGAGATGACATTTCACATTGAGCATGTTGTTTAAAATCTTTTTATAAGCCGACCATGACTTTAAGGAAATGAAATTAAAACAGCAGAGAATATCAATCTGTAGATCCACAATCTAAAAAAAAAAAAAAAAAAAAAAAAAAAAAAAAAAATCAATAAAATATATTTAAAAAAATAATAATAATAAAAATAAAAGCAGTAATATGAAACCTTTTACAACACATTTATTAGTCCTGTTCCAACTGTCACATTATGAAGGAATTCTTAAAATAAATAAATAAATAAATATCAATAAATAAAAATAAAAAGGAACTGCTGCTCTTTTGGGGTAGGTCATCTCAGTGGTGACACTAGGAAGTCCAGGTTGCCAACATACTGGAAACCAATATTTTTGGGTCAGGTCCCCATAGGTCTCTGATCTTAAGAGAACCAAAGTCTATGCTTAAAGTGGAGATGGAAAAAAGGACATAAAAACGAATTTTAGTTTTCCCACACAACAAGGTGTGTGTGCCAAGATGGTTAATGTGAGTCAACATCAAGATCTCCCTCCTCCCAGGAACCAAGAGGAAGTTTCTCAAAACTAGAAGGGAAAGGTATTTCTCCCCGATGTCATTGGAGACATTCTATTAGTACTATATGTCCTTCCCCAAAAAATAACAATGAAGTGTTCTGTGTGCTAACAACATAGCTTAAAAAAAAAAAAAGGTAAAACAGAGATCCAAGATGGCTGCACCCAGGTGAACACCTAGCCGCAGCCGCACACAACAATTTCAATAAAATACAACTAAAATATAAAACGGACATTGCCCAGAACTACAGGAAGGTTGACTGACTGGAAATTCTACAGTGAGAAGCAAGGAGAAAACCAGAAGGAGGTGCGGAGGAGCTGGAAAAGCCAAGGTACAGAGACACGGCGCCGAGAGGACGGAGCCGGAGAGGAGGGAGGCCGAGTGCCTGGCGGGCGTTCCCTAGCGGGAAGGAAATAAAACTCTGACTGTGCTGGGCCCCCGACTGCTCTAATCCCCAGTTTTAAGCCAGACCCCGGGGACTCAGGCTCAGCCATAGGGAGCCGGGCTGTAAGGCGGAACCCCGGGGAAGTGGCGAAAGGAGGTCCCGGAGGCGCGCACACTGCGCGCAGAGAAGGGACGGTCGGCTGTGCCGCGGGATTGCCCTGATGGGAAGGAGACTGGGGCTCCAGACTGCTCTGAACGCCACCTCCAACTCCACTTCCAACTGAACTGAACCCCAATACCGGACTCATTGGGGGAGAGCATAGACTGTTTGGCAGCAGGCGAAAATCGAGGGCACCTTTCTCTCAGAGGTGCTGGCAGCGAGCACTGAAGGACCCGCAGAGGGCGGGGCTGACGGAAGCCAAAGCTGCAGGCTCCACCCTGAAACCCCGTCCCATCAGTAACTGCGAAATGAGACAACAAAATAGATCACAAACGAAAGAAATGGAGGACAAAAAGCGTCTGGATATAGAGTTCAAATCTACGCTTATAAGGTTTTTCAAGAATTTCCTAGAAAAGATGGATAAGGCCTATGAGGATATGAAAAGAGATCAACTAGAATTAATAAGGAGTCATCGAGAAATGATAAGGGATCAACAAGAAATAAAGAATACATTGTCTGAAATAAAAAATATTTTACAGAGTCCTAAAAACAGAAGGGAAGATCACAAGAATCAAGTCAAAGATTTGGAACATAAAGAGCCAGAAGACACTCCTCCACAGAAGCTAGAAGGCAAGAGAATCCAGAAAATTGAAGATAATGTAAGAAACCTCTGGGACAACTTCAAGCGAACCAACATCAGAATTATTGGGGTCCCAGAAGATGAAAGAGAGCAAGATATCGAAAACATACTGAAATAAATAGTGACAGAAAACTTCCCCCACCTGGTGAAAGAATTAGACTTACAAGTCCAGGAAGCACACAGAACTCCAAACAAAAGGAATCCAAAGAGGACCACACCGAGACACATCATTATTAAAATTCCAAGAGCAAAAGACAAAGAGAGAATATTAAAAGAAGCAAGAGCAAAAAAGGTAGTAATCTATAAAGGAGCACCTATACGATTGTCAGCTGACTTCTCAACAGAAACCATGCAGGCCAGAAGCGAATGGCAAGAAATATTCAAGGTGATGAACAGCAAGAACCTACAGCCAAATAATCTACCCAGCAAAGCTATCACTCAGAATTGAAGGCCAGATAAAGAGCTTCACTAATAAAAAAAAGCTAAAGGAGTTCATCACCGCCAAACCAGAATTATATGAATTGCTGAAGGGGGTTCTTTCAGAAGAGAAAGTAAACAAAGATAAAAATTATGAACAACAAATACGTAACTATCAACAAGTGAATCTAAAAACCAAGGAAATTAAAAAAATCTGATGAACAATATTAACTATTGAATATAATAGAATCAGAGGTATGGAAGGGGAGTGAACTGACGATTCTTGGGGAAAAGGGGAGAGGGGGGCGTGGGAAGAGACTGAACATAAACTGTGCACCTATGGATGAGGACAATGGGGAGAGGGGAGAGGGCAGAGGGTGGGGTGGGAACCTGGTGGAGGAGAGCAATGGTGGAGGGGAAAAAAGGAACATTTGTAATAATATGAACAATAAAAACTTATAAAAAAAAAAAAAGGTAAAACAAAATCTGCATTTTTATAAAACTTGATTAAAAATGTATTTCAAGCTGTACAGTCACCAGAAAATACACAGTTATCAAAAATGCACACACTTCACTTGGCATTTCCAGCACCTTAGGCTTTCTGAGCCTGGTCTGTTTTGGCATCTCCATATTCTGCAGGATTATTCCCCTCTTTGCTAGCATCAGCTTTTCCTTTTCCCTTTCGGTACCTTCTCTCCCTTCTATGCAGGAGCCTTTTTTAGGCTTAGGCTCTGGCTTTGGAGGATCAGGCTTAGCTGATGACCTTGCTGGTCTTCTCTGTGGTTCGTCCTTCACCTTGGCTTTATCTCCTTTAGCATCCCCTTCAGCCTTTCTTTTGGGCATGATGGCGAGTGGTAGCAGGGTTGCAGTAACATGCAGGCTTTGCTCAAACCAGGTCGTTCTGCCTCCTCACACTGCTCTAGAGAGCAGTCTTTTAAAAGAACTGCACAGGGCTCCCATAACCTGACTTGGAAGCCCATTCTGTGTTATACATGTATCTACTTGGGTGTCGATGATAAAGAGGACTCTGGGTTGAAGTTTTAGAAAATAACTTGTTTCTAACTCTCTCTACCTGGATTGGTCAATTCTTTTCTTTGGGGTTACTTCTTTTAAAAAAAAATTTTTTTAATTGATTTCAGAGAGGAAGGGAAAGAAAGAGATAAAAACATCAATGATGAGAGGCCCCCACAATGAAGATTGAGTATGTCCTTGACGAGAATCAAACCCAGGCAGGCCCTTCAGTCCGCAGGCCGACACTCTATCCACTAAGCAAAACTGGCCAGCGCGGAGGCTAATTCTGATTTTTTCATATTTCACTGTGCCTGCAAAACCAACAACAACAACAAATCTAAATTCAAAGACAAATCACATTAATGCTGATATTTAAGGAAATAAAATACTCTTTGAAAGATCTAAATAATATTATCTGTACATAAAGATACAGATAATTATTTGTCAAACTTACGAGGTGTTGCAAATTTATTATGAACTTTTGTGGCAGGGGATGTGGTCTCTATCTACTGTCCTGATAAAATCTGATATGTTTCCAAATTGAATTAGACATCATTGCTTTAGTGTCTCTTACCTTCTTTGCTTTAGAAAAGGTTTTGGGCTTCCCATAAGGGAGTGATTGCTTACAGTCAAATAAATATGTGAAAATCTTGGTTAAATTGGTTTCTTTACTGTAGAACTTCTTAGAGCCTTTTACACAAAAATGCAGATGAGCCTTCAAGAAAAGGATATTATGTGTAGCACTTATCTAAATTATCTGATCACAAAATCCTGTGTGTGTGTGTGTATATATGTTCATTAATATGTATTGAAAAGAGAGATGCAAGGATCAGTTTTGGAAATGCTGACCTATAGTTTTGTTTTCTATTTCAATATTTAAAAAAGCTTTTCCAGCTTTGTAAAATGAATTGGAAAATTTAGATTCTCCCCCTCCCCCGCCTCCACCGCCCAATGCTTTAAAATGCAATAATGAAAAAATAAATTTTAAGTTTTCAATTTCTTCTCTGGTAAGATGGGCCAGACAGCAAAAGTCATCCCACATTTGCAGGTCAGTGAGAATTACTTATTGAGCAGCACACGTTTCTTTTCCTTTTTTATTTTTAACACGCCTTTCTTAAGCAACATAACATTTTTCTCTGTTTGACTTTCTAATCAGCCAACAAGCAATTTAGAAGAAATACAAGGAGATTAAAGATTCATGATAATGTGAGTGAATTGAACTTTATGGTATTAGCTTGTTCTCACCGCAGCATGCTGATCTTTGGTGGTCTCAGCCATCCATGTGGAGGCAAGGGTCTGTTAGGCTGGATAAGTCATCCTTGGTACACAACTGCCTGATAGCACCTCCCATGTGTAGGTTGGTGCATATCAGTAACTGTTTTCATTATCTCTGTGGTCTGTTGTAGAAAACTATCGAACCAGAGGAGGTTGTGGGAACCCTCATTTTGTAGCCAGTCATCTGAAGAAACCTGGGCTAGCGATTGGTATCTGAAGTAGGGGAAGTCTTGTGGGACTGAACTCTTAGCTTTTGGGGTCTACATAAACCCTGGATAGTAAATATGAGACCTGAATTACAGGACAGGAGAGCTGGAGAATTGGTTGGTGTGGGGAAAACTCCCATACATTTGGTGTCAGAGCTGATCTGTGAGTAGAAACAGATCATAGTATTACAGATTCTTGTTAGTAAAAGCTATCATTTATTGAGTGCCAGATAGGTTGCCAAGGCTCACCATATACTGTTTCTAATTCCAATGATCTTTTAAAACATTATTTTTGGTATCATTTTATAGATGAGAAAACCAATACTGACTTACTCAGCACAAGTTGTATTTCTAAAGTAGATTTTCATTTCTCTCTGACTCTCAATCCCTGCCTCCCTACATCCCCCTTCCCAAATTGGACTGTTAGTACATGCCTCTACCACCATATTCAACCTACCCTGGGCAATTTATTCAATCAATATGTACCGAATGCCTCCTGTGGTGCCATTATTTTGTGGGATGCTTTATGTGAGAACATACAGAAGGGTATTTACTCATGGCAATAACTATTTTTTGGTATCATTCTATTACAGAACAGGATGGTTAGGCACAAGATTGCTTAGTAATTTGTCCAGGGCCACACAACTAATGAGTGTGAGAGCCATCACTGAAACCCAGGACATTTGACTCCAAAACTGAACTGTATCTTATACATATGCATTCAGTATATCCATGTGTTATCGGTCAAATTTGGAAACAAAACAAAACATTATACAGCTATAGATTGATGACTTCATAGTGCCCATACCAAACTTGAAAGAAAAAATTTATTATAAACTTCATATGCAAAGGATTCAAAATAGAAAACTATTTTCGTGGATCTCAACATGGTATTTTCATGAGTTGCAATGTGATTCAATAGCTAATAAAGATCAGTTCAGTTACTTAGGTTAACTACAGATTCTTGTTTAGTAATTTTTTTTTTATCATCTCTTGATTGAACTTCTCTAAACAAAAGAGATTCCTATCATGACTCCTCCTGTCTAATCTCAAAAAAGACAAGGACAAATAAGATCACATAGGAACCTCTGAATATAATAGAATATCTTTGGTGAGATGCAGTTGGCTCATTTAGACATAGTTCTGCCCAAAATAACCTAGATGAGCTGGATGGAATTTATTGCATTACTAATGTTCTAAAGGCAGATTTCCCAGTAATATCTTAACCATAAAACTCTATTTAAACAAAAGGCTACTTGATACCACAGAAGAGACCAGAATGTTTTCATAGCTAGAGATTTCCAAACCATAAATACTTTCGTCCCTGTAAGCAAATGGGTCAGAAATACATATTTATGAGGCGCCCTGCATTTTTATCACCTCTGCAATGGAAAACAGTGTTTCATCATGACCCTTTCTATTTCTACCCTTGCTTTCTACTACTGATGGACTCCTTAACATATCATAAACAATCCACAGTGACAGACACTTCAGTATTCAGAAAGAAACAAAGGGAAAATATTACATAGAAGTTACTGCAACTGGTTATTTTTGAGCAACACGCTATCCATTGCTAAACTAAATCCAATGGTTCATTTCAGAACAATGTCAATACAAGGCAGCTGGGGAGATGGTTGCCTAGTAATTCAATTTATTCACTGATGGTATTAAAATTTTATTTTCTCTCTTATAGAAATAAACCCTCAATTTGGCCTGGAAATCTCCAGACATTTGACATTTGGGATATGATACAAGACTCATCATTTTTAAGTTAGCCTTTCTTTTTCTTTTCTTTTTTTCTTTTCCTTTTTTTAAGGAAGCATATGTTTTAAAAATATCTCTTTAAAAATGTCAAAATGTCAAATTGAAACAGTATTCTATTAATCATGGTTGCTGTTTTATCTGTCCTCCTTGCTTAATATGGTATATAGAGAAAGCGAATATGTGATTTTACATTCATTTTATAAGAATAATAATTTTGTACCCTAGCTAGTTTGGGTCAGTGGATAGAGTGTCAGCCTGCAGACTGAAGGGTCCCAGGGTCAAGGGCATGTGCCTCCGTTGCAGTCTCCTCCCTGGCTTGGGCCCTGGTCAGGGCACATGCAGGAGACAACCAACTGATGTGTTTCTCTCACGTTGATATTCCTCTTTCTCTAAAAATCAATGGAAAAATATCCTTGGGTGAGGATTAAAAGCAAACAAACAAAAAGAATAGTAATTTTGTTATTTATGTAAATGTTGTATGCTTTTTATTTTAAAATTCAAGCAATACAAAACTTCATAAAAAGAAATCTTAAAAATGAATTAGAGAAAAAACATGTTATGTTAGTTCATATAACTGGTGAGTTTGAAAAGTATAAGATACAAAGTAGACATCAAATAATACCGGATATATGCTTTTATTTTAGAAACAGTGCTTGAAATTTGGGTCGTGAACCATTACATTTCATTATAGTGAGAATTTTATTGTTTAAAATAAAATTTGTAGGTGACCTAATAGTAAATGTTATTTTCAGGTTCTTTTAGTTCCTATTTTTTTGAAGGAAATATTGCTTCATACTAATACAAACTCCTTTTATTAATTCATATTATTAAACAATTGTTATTAAGCACCCACAAGCAAAGTATTTTGTTAGTCACAAAGGTATCTAAGACTTCGTAACAGAGGCTGTATGTCCTCAAACTTATTTTCACTTTTTGGAAATAAGACCAGACTACATTTCATGGCCTCCCTTGTCATGAGATACAGACATGGGACTGAGTTCTGGCCAGTGGAATGTGAGTAGATTGACACACAACACCTTCAGTGAATGTCCAAAGGATCTCCCAGGCATTTCTCTAAAGGCTCTTTTTCATTGTCTCCCAGAAAGATCCAATGGAAGACTTTGAAGGCCTAGGATTAGAGGGCCACTGGATGGATGCAACCTATTTATCTGAATGCCAGTAAAGAGGAGAGCCCTCAACTTCCAATCCACTTTGGATTGACAGGGAATGTTAAATCACAGGGGTAGT